GCTCACTGCAACCTCCGCCTCCCTGGTTCAAGCGATTCTCCTGCCTCAGCTTCCCGAGTAGTTGGGATTACAGACACACACCGCCACGCTCGGCTCTTCTCTTTTCTTTCTCTTTCTCTCTCTCTTTCTTTCTCTCTCTCTTTCTTCTTTCTTTCTTTCTCTTTCTTTCCTTCTCTTTCTTTCCTTCCTTCCTTTTCTCTCTCTCTCTTTCTCTCTCTTTCTGTCTTTCCTCTCTCTCTCTTTCTTTCGTTTTTTTTTTTTTTTGTATTTTTAGACAGGGTTTTGCCATGTTGGTCAGGCTGGTCTCGAACTCCTGACCTCAGTTGATCAGAAGTAGGTGAGGTCAGAAAACACATCCTGGGAGAGGCTGGCACAATGCCCAGAACCGCCATCGCTAGGCCTGGGGTTTTCTTCTGTAGTGGATACTAGTATTCACGTAGTGCAGGGACAAAACCAATTAGATACTTCTGGGAGTTAAAAAGAGATGAATTTACAGTGCCATTTGAGAAGGGGTATTAAGGAATTTGCCAGGGTACTGACGCGTGTCAGGTGCAAACCGCGGGTTGAGAGAGAGCTAAGTATTTTCTGTCCATGAAGGTGATAAGCGAGGGCCTGAAGAAAGAGGGAAGGGGGAGGACGCTGGCGCCAGAAATAGGAAAGGGCTGCTTGGAGGCAGAAGGATGGGTGGGAGTGCTATCTAGAAAGTTGCCTGGCAATGGATGTAGGATGTGGAAGCGAGACATCAAACAGGAAGCTGTCGCTTAAATAAAGTCTGAAGAAAGACTAGATATGTAAACGGCAGGAGACAGCAGGGAAACTGGACCCGGCTCCTCATAAAATTTCCCGCCTTATATTTCAGGGCGGATCGCAGCGCATTTCCGCCAAGACAGTTGAGACTGCGGTTCTGACCTGGGGGCCTGGATGAATTGCGTTAGGGCACCTGGGCGCCAGCAGGGCCGTTCCCCTACACAAAGTAAGCCTGTTACGTCTACAGCCAAAGGGGACACTAAGAGCCCCAAAGGCTCTGCTTTCACCCCAAAGAACAGCGCCCGTCTGCCTAGTTTATACCTGGCTCTATGAGGTGAGAACACATTCCCCGCTAGCACAGAAATCCCACAAACTCCTGTGGGGGCTGCGGTTAGAAGCAGAGTCTGTGTAAAAGGTGACTGGGGGCTCGGGAAAAACACGAAGATTTTTACACAGTGTGAGGACCCAAGAGACTGGAAACCATGGACCAATCTCTGCAAGAAGCAGTCCCTCTTAGAAAGGGAAGAGCTGTACGGCCTTCGCACGAGTTAGCTTGTATTAAAAAGGCTCACAAGGACTGTCGCTTCACATTTCTCTTGCGGGGGAAAAAATGGCGACTTGTTACTTACTATTCCCCAGCCTTCCCAGTACAAGAATTACACTCAAGACGCCACCCAAAACCCACACCAGTAAAAGAAAGGAACCTTTAGCGTATAACCTATTCTTTAAACTACAACAATTTCAGGGGAAAGCGCGAACGCAGTCCCCCACTACCACAAATTATGCAGTCGAGTTTCCCACATTTGGGGAAATCGCAGGGGTCAGCACATCCAGAGTGCAATGGATAAGCCTCGCCCTGGGAAGACCACCTTCGTGATCATGGTATCTCCCCTGCCAGGTAAGTATGAGCTCCGGCCCTTCTGCCCAGCCACAGCCACATACGCCTAACCCTTTACACACACGGTCACTTGCCCCGCGCACTCCCGAGTCCTTCTAGCCCTGACACACAGCTGGGACTCTCAAGTCCGACCATCGGTCCTGAACCCGCTCCTACAGCATGGGAACTCCTTCGTGGCGAAGCAGCAGATGGCGAAGCAGCAGCCCCTGCGCTGCCTCATCTACATAGAAGTCGCCCTATCCGTGATGTCACCGACAGTGCCTTTCCCAGTCCCCGTCTGCTTTTCTGTCACTTAGCCGACCAACGCGCTGCGGGAGCCGGCAAGAGGAAGTGACGTCTGCCTCTCCCTTTTTGCCTCCGCCACCGCATCTGTTCTTTCCCAAAGAAGTGGGTCCTTATCCTATGTTGTGAAGCAACCTTTGGGCGGCCAGCTGGACCCTGGGCACCCTTCTTCAAATAATGGCTTTTAATTCTCGGACTAGAACGTTTAAGATTACAAAAGAAACCGGTTCTCTTCACACCGTTAGCCATGTAATGTAGCATTACGCTTGAAATTGGAAGCCATTCAATATCAGCAAGAAACCATATTTATGAAAGTAAAGAGGCCGCTCAGATGACTGTAAACCAGCCTTCCTTACTGATTTTATCACTGGTAATGTTATAAAGACAGTTGTCCAGTTTCATGAATCTCGTAGTTTTTTTTTTCCTTTCCAAATTCTGTATTGTAGAAAAATATGCTGCCCCAGAAGAGATGATTGGACACTCTCAAGCGTGGTGTTGGACTTTGTCATCTCTTGCACAGCCATCTCCAGACCTTAGTGCTTACCTCATGTTAGTATTTTATATTTTGCAAAGACAAAAACCAAAATAATCCAAATTTGACACAAATACCTGGGATCCATCTTATTTGAGATGTTTAACACATGTCTGGATCATCTTTTCTTATATTGGATTATAACACAGGAAACACTGTGAAGTAAGCAAAGTTGGAATGCCCAAGTCAAAAACCATTTGAATATTTACAAGCAGATTTGAGACAGGAATAATACAGGGTGGTCACAGGATAACAAATTCTAGGCAGCAGATTTACATGACTTGAGGCTACAGGCTGAGAAGATGCTGAAAAACCAGGGTGTGGACCAAGCTGGCTAAGACTGACTAAACCCAATGTGGTGCTGGATTTGACACAGGTTTTACCTAGGCCCTCATTATATGCTTATTAACATACTAAATCACACACCCACCAGTGCCATGACAGTTCTGAGACCAATATTTGATGTAAAAATGAATGGCACCACAGTTCTGAGACATCTCCACCTTCACCCAGGAATTTTCATGAATATTCCACTCTTTGGTTAAAGAAACCCATCAAGATGAAACCCCAGAACCCATTGTTCTCTCTCGGGTATGCCCGAACTCACCTTTCTTGAGTGTGTACTTTTTGCTTTGCAATAAATCTCTTCTTTCACTATTTGCTGACTCATCCTTGACTTCATTCTCAAGATGGTGTCAAGAGCCTGGACACCACAGCTATGATCAAGGTCAAACCAGAGTCTGGGAACCTCCCCCGGCCCACCAGTATCAGATTCTACTCCATTGCTCAAATCACAAAACATCGAGTGGAGAGTTCTCCTTGGAGACCATAAAGTAAAGATTCTGTGGCATGGCGGCCAGTTAGGCCACTGGAAGGCATGGCAAAATATTGAAAATGAGGGATTAGGTGACAGTGTAGCAACTGCTGAATACTAAATACTTGATCCAGGCCCCATTCCCTGGAGACTGTGACAGGGAGACACATTGTCCAGGTAGTAGTGGAGAAATACTTTCTGGGTATCTGACCAGCCTTTGTGGAAAGAACTGGCACCATCCTGCAGAGGTAACCGCCTGATGGGTTCTTCCTGCCCACTGTACATACAAAATCAATTCATGGAGACCATGGCATTACAGTAAAGAGTTTAATTGACACAGGCCAGTCACAACCTGTGGGAGACAGAGTTATTACTCAAATCGATCTCACTGAAGGCTTGGAGGTAAGGGGTTTTTCAAAGATAGTTTGGTGGGGAGGGCGCTAAGGTTTGGGCAGTGTGGATCGTTAGGGATGAAATCACAGGGAAGTGGAAAATGGCCCTCCCGCATTGAGTCAGCTTCTGGGTGGGGGCTAAGGGACTGGTTGATTTTCAGGCCAAATGGTGCCATCCAGTAGTCAGAAATGCAAAAGCCTGAAAAGACATCTCAAGAGGCCAATCTTAGGTTCTACAATAGTGATGTTCTTCACAGCAGTAATTGGGGAAGCTGCAAATCTTGTGACCTCTGGAATAATGACTGGTAATTATTTAATGAGGCATACATCTTAGTAGAATTCAGGCCCCTTTCATCCTTCTAACTTGGTGGCCTTTCATTAGTTTTACAGGGGTAACATAGTTTTGGAGAAGGTTATCATTTAAACAAATCTTTTTGGCTGTCCTCAACCTTTTTGGCACCAGGGACTGGTTTCACGGAAGACAATTTTTCCATGGAAGGGAGTAGTGGATGGTTTCTGGATGAAACTGTTCCACCTCAGGTCATCAGGCATTAGTTAGAGTCTCATAAGGAGTGCGCAATCTGGATCCCTCACATGCTCAGTTCCCAATAGGGTCTGAGCTCCCATGAGAATCTAATGCCGATGCTGATCTGACAAGAGGCGGAGCTCAGGGGTTAATGCTTGAAAGCCTGCAGCTCACTTCCTGCTGCTCGGCTGGGTTCCTAACAGGCCATGGACCAGTACCTGTCTTGTGACCCTGGGCATTGGGGACCTCTTATTTAAACTATAAACTCAATTTTTCCCAAAGAGAGCTTGGGAGAAATTGCACAGGAATGAGCAAAGACAGGTAGTCTGTGAGGCTAGAACCAAGATGGAGTCAGCCGTGTCAGCGTTCTCTTATTGTCAGAATTTTGCAAAAGTAGTTTCAGAGGGATTACCCTGGACACTTGTTAAAAACATGAGATGGATTTTATGTACTACAGTAGGCAAGAGAGACCAGCAGAGAACTGAGCTCGACCTCAAATACAGCAGGAAGAGTTGAAGATTATAGCCAATTGCAAGATAAGAAAGTCAGTGGATGAAAAATTACTAAGAGGCACTTGATTAGCTATCAAAGGTGGTTGGGAGGACTTTTGCTAAGCTAGACTCAACAGTATTATTTTCTGAAACTGGACTTTCAGAAACCAATAGAGAAAAGGGCTCAAAGGAAAGCACTAAGGTTTGATCAAAGATGGAGTCCTTGTCAACTCTACATTGAAGCTTCTGCAAATAAATGAAGACCAACCAAATGAAAAAAAGCAAAAGCTATTTATTCTGAGCTTGCTATAGGAGGGAGTCAGCCACTGTTACTTGTGTTTTGGTAGAGACTTGAAGGCAGTCAGAAGGGTGGGAAAGCTTTTTAAAAAGAAAGGCTTCAGGTATGCTTGGACTGGAGGCTGTCAGCATGGTGAAGCTGTAGATAGATGAAAAAATCAAAATATTTTACTCCAGAATATATTTCTTTGGCATATTTTAAGAATGCTGTCAGAGAGCCAGCAAGCAGAAGTAACTCTGCAAAACTGTCTTTTATAGGGGAAATTTACACCTGCAGAAAATCTGTATTAATCCAGCCTTCGCTTGTCAGGATTGAGAAATAAAAATAAGCCCTAGGCCCTACAACGAACTGAATGGACTCCCTCGTGGCTGACAGGACCTCAGAGAAGCCTTGAAAGCTGTTTCTGGCTGTGACAGGATAGGAGGTCGGACATGCCCCCTTAAAACCCCTCCCTCACTAACTGCCATTATAGGCAGAACAGCAGAGGGAATTGGAAGTTGGATAAAAGGCAGAATGAGTAAAAGCAGAAACAGAAGCAAGGTGATGGGGTGGGAGAGCAAGAAGGAAAATAAAAGGCAGAAGTTGAGCAGCCAAAACAAAAAGTTAGATTAAAAAAAGCAAGCAAGCCTGGGCGCGGTGGCTCACGCCTGTAATCCTAGCATTTCGGGAGGCCAAAGCGGGCAGATCGCCTGAGGTCAGAAGTTTGAGACCAGTCTGGCCAACATGGAGATACCTGGTCTCTACCAAAAATACAAAAAGTTAGCTGTGCGTGGTGGTGCACTCCTGTACTCCCAGCTACTCAGGAGGCTGAGACAGGAGCATCGCTTGAACCTGGGAGGCGGAGGTTGCAGCGAGCCGAGATTGCACTACTGCACTCCAGACTGGGCAACAGAGAGAGACTCTGTCTCAAAAAAAAAAGCCAAAAAAACAAAACAAAACAAAAAACCCCAGCAAGGATCCCCATTGCTGGCAAGATCCAAAGCAGTAAAGGGGCAACTCCTCAGAGATAGACACGTGCATTCGAGAAAAAAAGTATCCTTAACCTGACTCCATATGATAATCAGCTCATTAAAACTCATGTATATGGACTACATATCATGCATGTACTTAAAATTATGGGATGGAGGCAATGTGCAAGCACGCAAGGGCCAAAGTAACTAAGCAACCCATCTATCAATCTAAAGGCAAACACTGGCTAAAGAGTAGGCATCCTTGTGAAGAGAAGAATAAAAACCACACATAAAAAGACCCAAAGTACACCAAACTAATACTGATCTCATCTCGCAGAGGTCAGCCCACTCTCCCCACTCTGAGAGTGTTACTGTGCTTAATAAACTTTTGCTTTGCTTTGCTGCTTTGTGTGTGTCATGCACAGTTCTTTGTTTGGGACACCAAGAGCCTGGAACTGCACAGCACCATCTGGTAAGAATTAGGATTTTTTTCCCTAAGGGTTAACAAACCAACCCTTTTGAAAGACTTGCTTCACTACTGTTATCAACCAGCAGCCTGACACTTTCCCTGCCTTTTGTGGTTTTGACAAAGCAAGCAAGCAGCATTCCCTCCTAATAAGAGACTACTGACCTAGGAATGATTCTGGCCAGACTACAGAGGATGTACAGTGAGGGTTTTCATGTCCTTTGCTTCAGCTTTTGACGTCAGAGGGCCACAAACTCCACTCTCAGATAGCTAATGTCACCATTTTATGAACATGGGCCCCATGGAGAGGCACGAAACTCAGTTGCACATCTGCACATTTTTCCTCTTGTAAATATTCATATTGGAATATTATTAGGTACTGCTCCCGTGAAAGATACATTTGCAGAATGTACTCAAATTAGAAGCGTTATATAAACACTATAATGTAGCAATGGCGCATCCAGTTCTCTACACTATAGAAATATCTGCGGTGTAGACATTTCCACAATGACCAAAGATATGTGTACCAGAATAGTGACTGCAGCATTCTTTGTAATCCTAAAACCATGAAACCAACCTCATCTCAAAAACATTTTTTGTTTTGTTTTGTTTTGAGATGGAGTCACACTCTGTTGCTCAGGCTGGTGTGTAGCGATCTCAGCTCACTGCAGCCTCCACCTTCCAAGTTCAAACAATTCTCCTGCCTCAGCCTCCCGAGTAGCTGAGATTACAGGTGCATGCCACCATGCCTGGCTAACAAAAACATTTTGAAAAGGGTGAAATAAATCATGCACAAACTGAGGAAAAATACTGTTTTCAAAAATGATGGAGAGGATCACTAACATGATGACTGATTCCACTGGTCACATTATTGATAGAACAATCAGTAAGTCCAGGCACATCCTGGGGATACTACTGGACTCCTGTTACTGAAATATGAAAAAATGGAGGCATGTAAATTACTCATTTAAGCGTATAACGGACTGAATTAGAATTTTATCACACCAGAAGTGGGTTCCTAGGTCTCTGTTTCAGGATTCTTCCCTGCCATTTCAGGAGATACCCTGTTAAGAATCTGGTCCGTGAGGTGGGCTGGTCCTTGACATGTATCAGTCATAAATTAGTGGTTTGGTACACCGGGAAGATAAAATCTTCCCCGTTTGTCTAGTGATTGACAATGCGCGCATGCTTTAAAAGTTGCAGTAAGCGTCCCTGGGTGGGCTCGAACCACCAACCTTTCGGTTAACAGCCGAACGCGCTAACCGATTGCGCCACAGAGACAAGTGCTCTCGAACTTACTAGGCGATACAGGAAGGGCGCACTCACTAAACTTCCTCCTTTCCTTCTATTCTCAGTGCCCGCCCGGCAGGACGACTGAGCAAGGCCTTGGAAAACCAGAGAGATCAGAGCGGTGAGTCGCGCTGGTCACGTTGGACACCTGCGCGTTAGGAGATTTTGGAGCCAGAGGGAGAGCCGAATGGCCTTCACCCGCCTTGCCCCTCTCCTTCCTCAGAAGCCCCCAGAAACTCCCCGGTCGGCGACCCAGCCCGAGCCGCCTGGGGTCCCAAGGGAAGCTGAACGCCCGGTGGGCTCCCGGGATGGCTCTTCCCGTTCTCTGCGCTGCCTTCACCCAGTGAGGGAGCCTGTGCCCACCCCGCCCTGTCGCTTCCGGGGCTGCTGCGGAGCTGCCGCTGCCATCTTCGGATCCTGTGTCCCGCACGGGGGCTCCACCAGGACAGGGATGGTGGCGAGGGTCGCTCGTGGGTCCCCTTGCAGGGAGCAGGGTCTGGCATTCACCAGGGCGCCCGACTAGGACTTGCCGAATGAATCCATCGTCGCCTTTAGCTTTTAGTCCTTTGAAGAACCCTGAGAGTGGAAATCAAGAGATATTTTCCGTGAGGAAGTTCTGTTTACAAAGCGTTGATTTCTTGGCACCCCCGCGGGGCGGGCAACTGCAGGGCCTCCGGTGCACCTTCTGCGCAGTGGAGCCGTGGGGACTAAGCTGGGCGGTGGTCTGGTCCTGGGGCCGTAGAGCGGGAGCGGGGGAAGGGAAAAGCAAGCGCTGGGAAAGAAGCCAGGGAGCGCCGGAACAGACATCCAGACCTCCTGAAAGGCTCGTGCAGAGGCACAGGCGGGATCTTCTGGAAGTGAGAATTCTTTTTGTTTGTTTATTTATTGTAGCAGAATGGGGAAATGGAGAGAGAACCTGAAAGAGCCCCAAACTCGAGGACCTGTTGCTCCCCAAGAATAACATCTTCCAGAACTAAATAGAAAACTAGGCGTCTGGGAACCCTGAAATCCTTGGAGGAGTAGCATCATCATGACCCTCTGTGTTCCTTTTGGCAAAGGACTTGCTTCCATTGTTTGTTTGTTCAATTGTCTGTTTGCTAAATAAATAAAACCCTTTTCATGTATCTTTAAAATTATGTTGGTTCTATTATTTTATGATTACAAATAGTGCTGCAGGCATCATTCTTGTACATTTCTCATTGCCCACTGGTATATTTCTATAGGGTGGAGGCCTGGAGAGCAGTTGTTCCAGGATAGTGTTTACACAGCTTTTATTTCATTCCGTTTTCTTTCTTTTGTTGCTTTATTAGCTATAACCCTTTTCTTATTTCAGTGGCTGCTTTAGTGTTTCTGGGATACATCTTTAATTTCTCACAGTCTGCTTTCAAGTGTCATTATACCTCCTTTTCTGGCCTTTATCCCAGTGTTATATATTTTTGCTTTATGCATTATAAGCTTTGGGATTCATTCTTATTACTTTTATTTATTACGTCAAATATTTTTAAAAGATTTAAATTATAAGAAAATGTGTAGTACATGCTTTCTAAATGCCATTTCCAATATTGGTTTCTTTGTATGGGCCCACATTTTATTTGGTATCCTTTTGCTTCTGCCTGGAGGACTCTTAAGATTTCTTGTAGTGTGGGTTGGTGAATTCTTTTAGCTTTTGTATGTTTTTCACTGTCCTTATTTCACAGTTTTGAAATTTTATTTTTGCATAGAATTCTAGGTTAACTTTTTTTCTCAAGGTACTTTAAAAATGTTGCCATTAATGAAGCATTGTCATTATAGTATCTTTCTTTCCTGTGTTTGTAAAAATGGCATAAAGCCGGTTTCTTGTGCTGGTTATATAATTTTCAGATTGTGTATTTAAATTAAAATATTAAATTTTACTAAAAAAACTAAAAATAATAATCATGAATGTCGTTAATTCATCTTTAGTTCCACCAACAGTGCACTTAAAATGTGCCCAACCTGAGAGTCAAACCTACCTGCTGACGTGTAATTTGTGTTTGTGAGACATTCTCAACAGCATTTGCTTTCCCCAGCCAAGTGATTTTCCTCACATCTGAATGTCTTCAGTGCAAAAGGAAACATTTTTCTTTGCAAAAACACTTGAAGTTATTCTTACTTCAAGTAAGTGCATTAAATACAAACTTCTCCGTTGCATCCCTGGAATCCATCAAAAGCCTGGGAGTGACAATCAAGTCCTTCAGGATCAAGAGCTAAACAGGGGAGGACAAAGCGTGGCTTCTTCACTAGGAGTCAAGCCAAAGTCAACTGATTTGGTCTCCAACGGAGACCAGAACTCGGTTTACCAGCGACGTGAGGACCCAGCCCAGAGGAGGCGGCCTTTCTCTTCGTGCTGCCTTCAGATAGGAAATCTCCTAGGATTTCTTTCTTTCCCTTTGATCTACTTCCAACTCTCCCGTTCTATTTCTTCAAGACCTTTTTCGGATCCCTACTGCAAAGGACCTAAGGGGCTGGTGCCCTTCCCTACTGGTCCTTCCCTGGCTGGGTATCTTCACCCACGCTCACCCAGAATGTTACTGCCCGCCAGAGACAGCAAGAGGACCAAGGAGGGCGGCGGGTGCGGTGGGAACCACAGAGTCACCTCGCACCTGCGCCTCATGGGCTCCTAGCAAATTGAATAAATGCCCCCTGGAGCTTCTCTGCAGGTCACAGGGAAGGGGAGGGTGGCTGCCAACCTGGCAGGAGAAGCTTCAAGAGGCATCAGGAGGACCTGGCCCTGCCCCTGCGCCTTGAAGACAGGCCTGACCAGGTTGATTTTGACAGGTAGGCCCAAAGGAAAGGTTCAAGGGCGGCCCAAACCCTACCCAGAGATTAAGGCTCTTAAATGTCTGACGGTTTTGAGACTCCTCATTAGAATCGATCCCGCCTGTATCAGGAGACTCCTTTGCCAAAATTCAGAGACCAAGAAAGAGAAAGATTAGGCAGATCAAAGTCTGTAATTAACCAACCAGGAAACATAATTTTTCTGACAAATTGTATGTGTGCTATGAGAAAAAGACTAGCCTCAAGGAGAGTCTGTTTTTTTGGCTTGAGTGTAGGGAAGAATGGAGTTGCCACCAACTATGGTGTGTTGAAATGGCAGGTGCATCAGGGTGTAGACGTCAAGGAATTAAAAATATTTTACCCCAAAATACATTTCTTTGACATATTTTGAGATGTCTGTTCAGAGAGTCAGCTGCAGAAGTAGCCCTGCAAAGTTGTCTTTTGTTGGGGAGATTTGCATCTGTAGAGAGTCTGCATTGATGCAGCCAAGTCTTTCTTTGCCCAGATCTAGGAAAGATGAACTGAAATCCTGACACCTGTAAAGGTCTGAAAGAAACTTTTAGGGTTTATTCTCTCTGAGAGCTGCTACCTGTAAGGTTTCATTTACATATTAAGACCAACTTTGCTAGCGAAGCCTCCTCTTCTCTCCCTCCCATAACCTGTCTTTCCCACAATAAATGGATACACCACTGACTCTGATGGTACCTGGTTTTGGCCATGCTTTGAGCTCTCATTCATTCTGTTACCTTCAGATGGTATATAAGCTTCTGCATCCCATTGTGGGTAGGGTAGGGTAATCACTCTGTGACTCTCCCCATGTACATGTTAGTACATTTTATGCCTTTTCTCCAATTAATCTGCCTTTTGTGACTTGATTTTGGAGTGAAACTTCAGAGGGTTAAGAGGGGGTTTCCGTTGACCTCTACAGTTTTGGAGCTGTAAGCAGGATAGCAAAGCTCTGCTCTTCTGGAAGCTGCAGTGAAGAACCCAGGATCTGATCAGCTGTCATAAGGGTAAGAATTTTTTTACCAGCCAGGCTCCCGGCCTCCTTCTCTGTGTGGAATCTGTTCAAGTGGATAGTAAAAATCACTGTTTCTTTCTTTTCTCTCTCCAAAATCTTGATTAATGGGAGAAAAGGATTTGTGTGACTAGTCTTGGGTGTAGTGACTCTGGTGTGCTTTTTGGTACTTTGTGGTACCAATTCAAATTGTTTAATCCCTTTTTTCCCAGAAATTGTTTGTTCCTTTGTCTTTGTCTCTATGTGTTATTCTGTCATAAAAGAGGGTACTGGTTGAGGTTCCTTCTCATCTTATTTGATGTCCTTCAGAGCTTGACTTGTGACCAAGTGGGAGCACTTTCTCTTGGTTTTCGGTATCTGGAAAGAGGTGGTAATTTTCAGGTCATAGTAGATGGCCTGTCTGAAAATGGCTGGGAATGTGAGCACACTGTTTGCTCTGACTATGTCAAGCTCTTCGGATTTGTCTTAAGAAATCCCATCCCTTCAAGGCTTTTGTCGTCTCAACTTTTGTTGCCTGGTTAGTCCTAGGAAAGCTCAATCCCAAGAGGACCTACCTGGTATAACAGATTCACAGGTCTGTGACTGGAAGCCCCCACAAATGTACGGGTTACTGGAGGCAAACATCATCCTTAACCATCTGTGGCCTACTCCTTGCATTGAACTTTTTTCTTGGAGGGCAATCTTTGGGATTGCCTCTTGTATGACCTTCCCAGGAAGTTAACCTGGAAAATGACATCCTGGGCTTTCCACAAAGAGGCTATTTGGTTGAATTGCTTTTGGAATAATTACACCATTGGAAATTCTAGTTGACAGTGGATTGAAGATGGATCCGTTAGACACCTGAATTTAAAAAAAAAAAGATTTTAGAGATCTCTTATTTTAAACAGTTGATAGGAAGATCAAATTTAAAGAAAGGCACATGCTAGTGCCATGGCTACCCTTAGAAATTCTCTTGACAATATTATCTGTGTTGTGTAGGGAAAAAAATTCTCTTGACTAAATGAAAGAACAAAATTTGACCCAAAACAAAGTTAAAATTCTTCATAAGCTTAAACTGCCTGCTCTGGATCCCTTCCAGGATTCACAGTAAAGTCTGCTCTACCTTGCAATTCAGTACTTAAAGTTCTGTGCTTTTGCTGCCATAGCCTGGGTTCAATTTCCAGTCAGGGAACCAGTTTATTTTGGCTTGATATTTGTGTGACTTGTGACTTTTTGGAATACCCATTTATTGATCCTTTTCCTTTTCATGTGCAGCTTTTGTTTGTTTGTTTGTTTATTATGATGGAGTCTCACTCTGTCACCCAGGCTGGAGTGCACTGGTGCGATCTTGGCTCACTGCAACCTCTGCCTCCCAGGTTCAAGTGATTCTCCTACCTCAGTCTCTCAAGTAGCTGGGCCATGCCTGGCTAATTTTTGTATTTTTAGTAGCGACAGGGTTTTGCCATGTTGGCCAGGCTAGTCTTGAGCTCCTGACCTCAAGTGATCCACCCGCCTCAGCCTCCCAAAGTGTTGGGATTGTAGATGTGAGCCACCGCTTCTGGCTGTTGGCAGCTTTTGATTTCCTGTCCTTCCAGCTTCCAAAGTTTCTGATGAGAAACCTGTTGATAATCTTATTAAATATTTATGGCATATGACCAGTTGCTTTTCTCTTATCGATTTAAAGATTCTCTGTTTTTGACTTTTGAAAGTTTGATTATAATGTGTTTTGGTGTAGGTCTCTTTATCTTACTTGGGGTTTGTTAGGCTACTGTGTTTGTATTCATGTCTTTCATCAAATTTGGAAACTTTTCAGCCATTATTTCTTCAACTATTCTCTCTTGACCTTCTCTCCCTCTTCTTTAGAAATTCCACAATGTAAGGCTGAGTGCGGCGGCTCATGCCTGTAATCCCAGCACTTTGGGAGGCCGAGGTGGGAGGATCACCTGAGGTCAGGAGTTTGAGACCAGCCTGACCAACATGGAGAAACTCCGCCTCTACTAAAAATACAAAATTAGCCAGGCATGGTGGTGCATGCCTACAATCCCAGCTTCTCGGGAGGCTGAGGTGGGAGAACCGCTTGAACCCAGGAGGCAGAGGTTGTGGTGAGCTGAGATCGTGCCATTGCATTCCAGTCTGGGCAGCAAGAGCGAAACTCCGTCTCCTCACCCCCCCCCAAAAAACAACAACAACAAAAAAGAAATTCCACAATGCATATGTTGTCCTCTTGATGGTCACTTAGGCTCTACTCACTTTTCTTCAATCTTTTTTTATTTCTGTTCCTCAAACTGGATGATTTCCATTGCCTTATCATCGGGTTCACTGATTGTTTCTTCTGCCTGCTCA